TCTCTCTCTTTCTCTCTCCCCCTCTCTCTCTCTCTCTCTCTCTCTCTCTCTCTCTCTCACACACACACACACACACACACACACACTCACACACACACACACACACACACACACACACACACACACACACACACACACACACACACACACACACACACACACTCACACACACACATACACCAACTATTGTTAGAGGGGTCAGTATCAAGCCATTAATATTGTGAGCTTTCTATTTTTATGAGGAGGAGGAGGAGGAGAAGGAGGAGGCGGAGGAGAAGGAGGAGGAGGAGGAGGAGGAGGAGGAGGAGGAGGAGATGGTAAAAAGAAAAAGAAGAGGGACGGAGAGGTAGATGGAAGAGAAGGAGAGTGAACAATTAACAGGGAGAAAGAGGAATACAAAATGTATACGGCAGAGGAACAAGAGGAGGCAATGGAGCAAGGAGGATAAGGAGAAAGAAGAGAACAAAGAAGAGGAAAAGGAGAAAGAGGAACACATAATGTGTACTGTAGAGGAATTAAGAAGAGGCAATGGAGAAAAGGGGCTAAGGAGAAAGAAGAGGAGAAAGAGAAGGAGAAAGAGGAGGAGAAGGAGAAAGAAGAGGAGAAAGAGGAGGAGAAGGAGAAAGAAGAGGAGAAAGAGGAGGAGAAGGAGAAAGAAGAGGAGAAAGAGGAGGAGAAGGAGAAAGAAGAGGAGAAAGAGGAGGAGAAAGAGAAAGAGGAAAGGCTTAAATTGGCTTGGTAGAGGTCACCTACCAAACCACAGCCTTCCCCTGACGTCACACTTCCCGTCATTTGTGACTACGTTCTCAGCAAGTTTCAGTGACGTAGACGGAGCAAATGGCGTCTGCTCGCCTGTGACCTCGTCCAGGAAATCTAACCTCTGACCCTGAGCGATGACCAGGCTCTGACCTTTGCTGCGTGGGACGGAGAAACTCACAGGCTCTTCTGTGATTGGATAGAAGGGAAATGTCGAGTTAAAATCTGGGAGAAAATGATAGATAAATAGATAGATAGATAGATGTATAGATAGATAGAGAGATAGAGAGATAGAGAGACAGACAGACAGATAGATAGATAGATAGATAGATAGATAGATAGATAGATAGATAGATAGATAGATAGATAGATAGACAGACAGATAAATATTGCTGTGTCTATTTTTAACAAACAAACAAACAAACGAACCAACAAACAAACAAACAAACAAACCAACAAACAAACCAACAAACAAAGCACACACACACACACACACATACACACACACACACACACACACGCCCCCACACACACACACCCACACACACATACAACCTGTGGACCTAGTGGTGACGTCCCCAGTGTCCGCCTGGTACCGCTTGACCTCTCTGCCCGGCGTGTTGACCCACAGCAGCGATGACGTCACAGTGTCCCAGTGTCCACTCTCTCCCAGCACGTCCACGGGTGGGGTCACGGCTGTGACCTTCATCTTGCTACCTTGACCTTCACAGGGGATGTCGTCACGCGCGTCTTTGTTGGGGTGAGTTATTTCACTGAGGACGGGAGGAAAAAGAAGACAAAAGGTGTGAGTAGCAGGGAACTGGGATGGACTCGAGTTTGGCAACCACTGACAAAATGGTGAAATGGTATAGATTTTGTTTTTGTAAAGTGTTTTACGGCGCTCGCAACTGCATAAGGTCATATGAGCGCGCGGGACACACCTAATATTTTCAGTTGGTAGGAAATTTTGAATTTTGCCCGGGTGGCGGCCCAAGCCTACCCTTATCGATTTTAGACCACCAAGGGATCTTTAACGTGCGCAACTTGCACACGGGCCCTCCGAGATTTTTCGCCTTTGTCCGAGAAGGCTAGGTGTATATCTTTCCTACCAGAAGATCTGGGGTGTGGTAGAAAGACAACAGTAAGGAGGAGCCAAGGAGTAGCAGTAGAAAGGCTGCAGAAAGAATCAGGAGCCCAGAGGAGGGGCCAAAGGAGGTGA